GTTCCTACCGCCTTCTATAAGGCGTTAGAAACAGGCTTCAACTGTTGAACCCCAGGAAAGCTGGGTGTCGGACGGGGAGACTGCTTATACCTGTTTAATAAACAAGGGGGTGTCCGGCAATGTAGACCGAAGCATGCAACTCCCTCATGCCATGCTGAACAGTCTAGCTACACAGCACGTGCAGGGGCGTGAAAGTGCGAAATTGCATTAAAATGCAATGGAGTCAACAAAATATAAATTACTTCAACACAATATTAAGCCAGCGAGATAGCAGTATGAAACTGCGCCGAGAAGCATAAAGCAATGCTTTAACCATAACATTTATTTTGGTTCTTCTTTGAGTGGTTTGATTGTACGCGTTTTACTTCATTGGAATAATTTCGTGGAAAACACGAGAGCGTTCGAGAAAGATTACGGTTGGTTCATGCAGTAACCGAATAATCGCGAAGACATTATGATACCACAAAGCTGCGGCGGTAGGCCGCAACATCTTTCATTACAAAGGCCGTAATGGGAGAGTGGAGGGGAGAGTCAAGTCCGGCTATGGCAGAATCATGGCCACACGATCTTGCAGAAGATTGTTCAATGGCTGTAGTTGCTGCTCTGTCTCCAGATACTTTTACGCTGCTGATAATGATGACGCATTTTATTATGAAAATTCAAAGAAAATGGGGACGGTACCTATTCCAGGACTCCTATGGTAACCTCTGCGACAGTCCAGGCTCTGAGAATGAGGGCCCGGCAGACCTCGGGGGCGCCATCGCGAAGGGTGCCTTCCCATTGCTCTGTGTCACAGCTGGACCGAAGGATTGGAGGGAGGGGAGGGAAGTAAGTGGCGGAGCATTCTATGGTAACGTGAAAAGTTGTGGCGATAGCGCCCCACCCTGGACAGGCATCAATATAACGAGTTGGGTATATTTTATTCACGAAGTGGAGTTTCGGAAAAAATCGGGTCTGCAGTTGGCAAAGTGCGACAGCCTCCTCGCGTGTGAAGGAAGAATCTGGTGGGAGGTGGCATTGCTGTCGTTGGCGTATGTAATATTGTGTGACTTCGTGATATGTCAGAAGTGAGGAACCTGGCTCTGTGTTGGCCGCCTCACTGCTCGGGGCCACTCGGAGGGTGAGTCCTCGAGCAGCCGCATGAGCGCGTTTATTACCCGACAGTGAGACATGACCAGGAGTCCAGAGCAGGTTTATGATGTGGCTGTTGTGTGAAGCAACTTTGGATGTGCGTAAGAAAATAGAATGGGGCCTTTTGGGAATGCAGCGACCTGTTAGAAAAGCCCGACATGCCACTTGCGAATTGGTTAGTATGTCGTATGTTTCCGCGGGGAGGCAAAATTTGTGTTAAATTGCCAAGGTAACCACCAGGATCTCGCCCGAATCGGTGGCTGAAGACAGGGAAGAGATTTAGGCAGCACTTACGATCTCATATGAGTTCCGTTAAATACCACCTCTGTGTGTCCGTTTGTCGTGCAAGCCACGTCTGTGTAGTAGACCCTATTCTCATCAACGCCACTGAGAGTGCGATTCAGGTATCTCACCTGTGCCCGCCAGCGACCAATATTAGGCTCAGGCTGCACTTTGCGTGGCAGAGGATGTACGCGAAGCACTCGAGCTATTTCGAGTGGCACGGAAATACTCTGCATTTCCGGAGGTTCAGGGGGGACTGGATGACCCAGGTGGTGGAGTACGTGTCTACTCATTGGTGTGAGAAGAAGACGTTGGCTCTGACTAATCCACTGGACCTCTAGTACTTCGTTGGGGGTATTGTGCACTCCTAGTGACAAAAGGCGCAGCGTTGAAGTATATTTGCGGAACGCCCAGAGCGACCTTGATGGCCTTATGGGTGAGTGTGTCCACCCGTTCTTTATGTGCTTGTATTAGCCGGTGAAATGGAAAGTGATATCTGAAGTGGCTTATAATACACGCTGCCACTAGCCGAAACATATCCCGCTCCCCAAGTCCCGAACGTATACTACTTACGCGTCGGAACATGGCGATGATCTGCTCCGTCTGGCGGGAGAATATGGAGGTGGTGCGTCGTGCCCTGCCATCTGCTTCAACGGGAAGTCCAAGAATGTGTGCTCGCTCTACCTGTGGGATAGGTGTTCCTTCGACGAGTACATTGATGTGGGGTAGGGAATTTTTACGGTGGCCGCGAAAGACAAGGAGCTCAGACTTGTTTAAAGAAAAAGTGAGGCCACCCCGTCGAGCATCGTCTGACACGACCTCTACCGCTTGTTGAAGCTGGTCTTGAATTTTGCCGTCGGAACCCCGAAACGTACACAACGTAATATTGTTGGCATAGATGGCATGGTGCAGGTCCTAAATTCGGTCAAGTTGTTTAAGGAGACCTGACATAGCGATATTATATAATGCTAGTGAAATCACAGCTCCTTGAGGGGTGCCTCTGCCTGGGAGGTGGATGATACTCGAGGGATGTGGGCCTATACTAATTGTTGTGGTACGATCACGAAAAAAGGCTTTTACCTATAGTTACAACGCGAACGCCGCAGCGTAATTCGGCGAAGTTGCTGAGAATGACGTCGTGCTCCACATTGTCAAAGGCCCACTTAAGGTCCAGCGCAAGCAAAGCGTGGGTTTGGATACCCCACGATGGACCCAAGACCTGCTCTTTCCACTGGAGCAACACATCTTGCGTGGATTAGTGTGAGCGAAAGCCCAACTGATTATGCGATAAAAGACTGGCTCTCTAGAAATGACTGCAAGCGCCGCAGGACAACATGTTCCATGAGGTTGCCTATACATGACGTAAGGAAAAGCGGTCGCAAATTTTCGACGGAGATGGGTTTCCCCGATTTTGAGAGGAGAGAAATGTCCGCATGTCACCATGTTTGGGGTAGCGTGCCGTTCTAGAAATTCTCGTTAAACGTGTCCACCAGGTGCGTAAGATCTGCGTCGTTGAGATTTCGGAGTGTCGTGTAAAGGATGTGGTCAGTACCCGGCGCTGAATTCTTGCGGATATCTTCTAGCACATATTGAGCCTCTTGAATTGTTACTTCGACATCTATGGCACTGTACGAATCTGTGTCGTATGGGTATGAGTAATACTGGGGACGCGCTCCAGAAGGGATATAACGTGCTTTTAAATTCTGCAGGAGACAGCCAGGAGAGTGTCTACACGAATGAGTGAGGCCATGCAACCGCTTTTGAGTCTGCACGTTTGTGCCTGATGGGTCTATAAGTGCTCGGAGAATGTTCTATGTTTTAGCAGTACTCAGGGTGCCGGCAAGACGAATACAAAATCCTCTCTAGTTGTTTCTTGTGAGAGTCTGGGCGTATTCCTTGATTTGTCGCGTGATACGCGCAATCCGAAGTTTCAGTTTACAAGTTAGGCGCTGACGCTTCCAACGCTTTTTAGTCCGCTTCTAGCATCCCACAAGTGGAACAGGTGCCAGTCGATGTCAGGATTGATAGGCGCAGTGGTGGTCGACTGCGTGGTGGCATCGAGGTCAATCACAAGGGCCGTGAGCCAGTCGTTGTAGCCATACACTTCTGAACTGGCACCCGTAGCCGTCGAAATTTATCCCAGTTGGTTATATGAACGTTTCAGGCCGGTGCGAACTGGCAAGAGGAAGGACGGCTGCGATGGTGTGGTGGTCACTCCCAAGAGTTTCGTCTAAGGGCCCACTTGAGATGACTGTGCCGGTACTGCGAATTATTGTCACATCGGGACACATATCTCGATATCTCGTGAGACGCTAGCCCCGATGCGGCTTGGTTGTGTGAGATGAGTAAGCAACGTGAAAGAAGCGCATATTACGTATGGTGTCCTACAATTTTGTTCCTTTCCAGTGCTCAATATAGTGCACTTCCATCTCATCTCTTCCAGTGTTTACTCTGCTGCTACTGATATCAGAAGGTATATATATATATATATATATATATATATATATATATATATATATATATTAAAAGTAACTAAACCAAGAACGATCTCTCTCCAAACTTGTTTGTTTTTCATCTCCCCCTCACTCTTCTTTATCAGAATGACGTCGTCGTTGCCATTCACATGTCCATTCCCATTCTCGCTCCTGACGAGCAGCTTCTCCTCCCGAATATCGCATGGCTTAAGCCATCGCCAAACATTCTAGCCATAAATAGCTTCGTCATTTATATAATCGACCGCAAGTCAATAAAGAAGCTTGCCCAATTTATGTGACACATACCCACTAGGCTATTTATAGGCTAGTTCTAGTTATAGACAAGCTGCTTGGTACGTACCCGGAAAGAAATATAGTTAGTTATACGATGCTTCTTAATTTTTACTGGACAGAGGATTAGTAGTAAAGCTTGCTCAAGTTTCGTGGTACATACCCGCATGTCAAATGTGCCTCACATTTTCGATAGGGAAGTTGGCGCGTGGAATGATATCTAAAGTGAGTTAGCAGTGTCTTCGGGATGACCTGGGTGCGTTTTCGCGATTGGTGCGTGAATAAATAAAAGTAGAATACAGAGTGGTCCTGACTTCCATTGTGTTAAAGCTGGAGGGGAAACACCCAGTTCAAGTGTCACCCCGCCCCCTTGAAATTAAACTTTCAAAGATATCGTGTTTTCTGCAAAACCAATTTGAAAATATGAAACCCTTCCCGTGAGCACAAATGCAGAAAAAAATAAAAGCTGATATATATATATATATATATATATATATATATATATATATATATATATATATATATATATATATATATATATATATATATACATGTATATATATATATATATACATGTATATATATATATATATACATGTATATATATATATATATATATATATATATATATATATATATATATATATATATATATATATATATATATATACATATATATATATATATATATATATATATACATGTATATATATATATATATACATGTATATATATATATATATATATATATATATATATATTGTTGGCTTGCCGCAAATGTTTATAACGCTAGGCTTTGAAGTGCACATTAAATAAAAAATATCTGATCCTCGACCGTCGTTTATTGACGTCGACTTCGCTAAAAGCCACTAGCTGGGAAGTTTAAACATTCATAGGTCGACTACGAGTGCGGAAGAATAGAGCTGAGGTTAATGAAAATTTGAAACTTCAATCACATTCAAATACCAAACCTTTACGCGGGCGTAAGAAAGAAAAAAAGAACGCTAGTATTTTCATTTGATGGTTTAACCCTGCTGTCATATTAGTTAAAGATACGCTAAATCCTACCTATATGTGTCACTTATACACTCTGCGCTCACCAGCACTGACGCCCGTGCTCGTTTTCTTAGTTGTATTTTTTGCATCCTAGTATTTTTATTAGAATTAAAATTGAAACCTACATATACAAAAACAGAATGGCCACCATATGGCAAGATGTGTGTGCCACCTTTTGATTTTTTGCTATACCTCACTTCAAGTTACCTGGCTATCGGTAAAGTTCTTTTGTTTCTTGATTCCACGCTCGGCAGTGAGAACTCTGGTTCCACCATTGGACTATACTCGGATACACCGATCTTTGACTAAAGCTAGAACTGTAGAGCTTCGTGCACAGCTCGCAAAACGTATAGTATACCCATGGCTCAACATTATACCGTCCTTTCCATTCGAAGAAGCTTTTGTACAAGACAAAGTTTTCTGAAACTTCTCTGAGGTAGTCGGCGAGATCTTTCGGGGTCTTAAATTGAAGCGCGTCAATATAAGAGCCCGGCGGTGCCACGTCCTGGTAATCAGCGCCCCCAAACGTCACCGGAATGATGTCGTAAAGCAGGGCCAAATATAGCTTCTCCGTGACGTAGTCCCTGCAGATAGTGTTCTCGAAAGACAAGATGAAGAAGTATTTACGTTCGAACATCTGATAACAGGCAAAGCGCACGTCACGTGAGCACGAAAAGTTGCCGCACTTGCCGTACACGTCCACCGACATGTGTCGGCGCAACTCGTTGACGTAGTTTTCGCGTTTCCCGAAAGTACTGCAGTGGCTCACAGCCCAGACAGCCGTGACTTTTTTGTTGCGCCAGGTTTGCTCGAGACGCTCCAGAGAGTAGGAAGTTGGTTTGCTACGTTGCGTCACCTTGGCGTACGCGTCGACGACGTCGGAGTCTCGCCTATACGTCATGGTCCAGTTGAAGGCGTCTTCAACTGACACCAGAGGCGACGGGTCACACGTGGTGGGCGCCTCGAGGGACCAGAGCACCCACTTTTGACCCTCGGCTCTGTAACTTGGGAGGTCGGAGGCGTTCAGGTCGCAGGCGTAGAAAACAACGGCGTCACTGACGGGCAAGGTGCGACGGTCGTTGGCAATGTAGCAGTGGTCGGCGCAGCCACCGAATGGATGCCAATAGCGCAGTTCTGCGGTTCCGCTCGCGCTCAGGCCCGAGTACCATTCGCCGAACACGGTTGTCCAGAACAAGATACGGGGCTTGTCTGGACGGCTGAAGATGTCTGTTCTCCAGTAGAATGGCACCCAACTACGGTTCCTGAAAAGCGGGAAGAAGGAGATATAGTCATTGAAATTCTAGTTTATTACTGTGATAATAAAGTAAGCTTTCAATTCACTAGACGTTGACCACAATTTTATTGTTTACGAGGCTGGCCCATTCTATTTTCATGGCAAACGAAGACCAATACCGCTAGAATAAGCGAGCAAATTTGTTATTCCGAAAGAATCCTGGAAGTGAGAAGTGAATAGACAGGTGATAGGTTAAACAAGCAGAAAGAGCTCCCCCTCCCCCCCAAAAAAGGAGGGAAAAAAACGACGAAGAGGCGTAAACTAAGTGCCGTAAAATGGACTGGCACTAGGGCGGAACATGCCAATAAATCCTAGTGGATATGAAAAGACGGTGAACTATTGTTAAAAGATCAAGCATTATTTTCGCGATTTGAATTGAATGTTACAAAAACCGGTACGTTGCACTGCCTATTGCACAAGCGTCAGTGGTACTGCGCGAAATAGTCATTCGGATTGCTGTACGTATAGTCTGCTGTTGTTTACGCGCACCACAATTCAAGCATAAATTTAGTCTGTGTTTTGTCAAATATCCCAACATTATTTTATTCATTGCAACCATGACCACATTCTTTTTTTTTGACATTTATCAAGTATATCAGTTGATCACTGCATTATCAATGAGGCTTTTTGCCGTATAAGCAGCCGTTTCACTGTCCTTGTATCATGTTGTATCATTCTGACCAACGCCGGGCCTATGGTTGATACGTTAATGAAGACACCTTTGACTAAAGCAAGTCGGTGATAGCACGCGCACGCACACACACACGCACACACACTGACAATTAACAGACACAAATATCACGAAAAAACTATTCGTCTACTGTTGTCGGCTCGAGTGCACCAGCCTTCATTGGAGTGAATGCGACTGCAGGACACATTTCCTATAAAAGCATAGGGCAGTGAAGGTATGTAGTCTTGCGTACACGTGCCTTAATAATGGGCGCCACTGTTACCGTTGTAATAGCACCACATTAATCTTTTTTGAAGTACTGAACTTACATTGCAATTACTGTAAGGAAAGTTTGCGCAATCCGTCATCCTGAAATTACCTGCGGAACTTTGGCAGCGAGAACTCGCGGCTATTTTGATGGTGCGCCTCTCTAACCCGTATCAAAGTTTGCTTGGCCTTGATTGAATGAAAAAAAAAAGAAGTATTTCAACGTGATGCACTTTGTATCACAGCCCAAACCGTCATTTTGTCTATAAAAAAAACTTTTTGGGGGAGCATGATTACGCGTTTGAAACCACACAGGCAGCAACGCACAGAGGCATCGTCGGCCTGTCTTGTCTGGTGCTCTGAGGACCGTGACTTTATCTTTCTCTCTTTCTATTCTCTTTTCGATTGCTGTTTCCCAGGCCTTGTACGCAGTATCTAAGCAGTTCTTCTACCAGGTTGACCTCTCTGTTTCTTTCTCTTATCAATTTTTTCTCTCTCTCTCTCTCGTATTTCAGTCAAAAGTAAATGAAAAAGTAACATCCAACTTTCGCGCTTGAAGCAATTAGTTACATTACTCATCACAGCAAAAGGTAACTTAATTACTTTCATTTCATTGATGTAATGTGATTACTTCCAAGTCTGATCCAAGCAGCCAGATATGTATTATCGATTACAACCCCTCTTGACACCGGTTGAACTATCCCTATACCATCACGAATCTCGGCACCCCACCCCTCAGTAAAAAGGAATCTGACTACGCCACTGGGTGTTACTGCAATACTGATTAGGAAACTCGGCTGGTATCAGAAAGGCGAGGAAGAGCCACTGTGGTGTCACCGTGACTAGCCCCCGAAGCCCGTCTCACTCTTGCATAGGATTTGTTTACAAATATTGTCCCTCATATTTTTCCCGGCCCATTATTTATCATGTTCATCTGTAGGAAAGCTAACAATTATTCGATTACTTTTGTGCAAGCCGTGCGTGCTGAAGTGGCAAGAGCGACACAAAAAATATACGCACGGGTACAGTCCATCCGAAACGCTAATGAAGTCTGCAGTCCGGAGATAGGAGAAAAAGTAGTCGTGGCTGATAGGAATGAAGTTGTAGCTCAGAAGTGGCAACGAACTTAACATGATCAGCACCACCACTGTCACCCGACGCCTTTTGGCCAGAATCATGACAGAACGTCGCATCGGCCCTGCAATTCCAGAAATTTACATGGTAGGAGGCAAAATTTGGTGGGGTTATTCCGTTCCTACACACAAAATGTGTGAAAATTTCGTTGAAGCAGTTATCTAAAATATAAAAGAAGTAAAATACAACGCTGTTTCACTTCACCAGATGACGTATATGAATCAGGTCTCCTCGTCAGATTTACTCTCACTCCATGTTCACACAAGCGGTACTTTGAATGGGTTGCACAGGGGCGACATTATAGGGCTTGGAAAAAGGCGGTACAGGACTGCATCGGGCACAGTCCGCTGAGCACGGCTTTTGCAGTGGTTGCCACTCGATACTTTTTTTTTCGTGGCTCGTTACCGGATGCGGTAAACGTGTGTGCCCCGGCGCAGCAGAATTGGATGATAAAAAGATTGGAGTAACGTTTATTGCACATTTACTATAAAGAAATTGGTCTTTATAGAATACGGAAGATAGGTAAGAGCAAGAGGGATAAATTAAGGCAGTTTCGCTTAAGCGGTGCACGAAGTGCGGAACTAGGCAGCCTTCTCTTCTTCTCTTCAGTTTTCTCTTTTTTTCTTCTCTCTTTCTTTCTTTTTCTCTTTCCTAGTTTTTTTCTGTCTTCTTTTTATATCTATTAATTTCTATTTTTTCTTTCTATTTTCTTTTTTTTGTCTCTTTTTGTTTTCGCTTGCTTTCTGTTTTCTTATATTTTTTATACGTGCCTGAATCTTCTAAAATGCTCTGTTGCACATGATATCGTTAAGGTGCTCGAAGAAAAAGAGAGAATACTTCACTCTGGTGCTAGCGCGTGCTCTAGATGGCTACAATATACGTGCTTTTGTCTGCGTTACACAAAGCGATGGTGACAGCATACGATCACATCATACGACAGCACGACCCTCCAAAGTGCTGAACACTTGAGAAGAGACGCTGGGTAACATGTGAACAAGTGCAGATGCAGATTAAGGGGATGGAGAGGTGTCATCTCCGGATATTCTGAACCATTCTTAAGTTGGATTCCCCCTTAACTGTAAAGTCCCTTTAAAGTGGTTCAAACAACAAGGTGATGCATATATACATGACAAACTGGTCCAAACGTCTTCTCTCCCTTACAAACATGTGTGCACTGTGGCAGGGCCGCAGAGGCAGTGCACAATTCTTTCTTCGCAGCTGTCAATGCGTCCTTAGAACACTCACTGGAACGAGAAAAATTTTATGTATTTCTTTTCATTATAAATTATTTAAAGCATGGGTGGACTTTTCATCACCATAACCAATGACCAGCCTTTGAAGAAAAATGCTAGATGTGTATTTATCTTTCTACTTCGTCATCTTCAATAGTTTTACCTTTCCTCGGATCTAAAGTTTCGATTACCATAATGAGTCTGAAGAAATAGATTCGTTGAAGAGATTCATTGAAGCAGAATGATTGATATGAACACACGGACAATGTGGAATAAAGATATTTGACATTCTGATTTTTGAGCAGCATCTGCAATCGCTTCATGCCCTTCGGAATATCGAAACTCCCACGTATGACACACACACACACACACACACACACACACACACACACACACACACACACACACACACACACACACACACACACACGTTTGCCGACGACTCACCGTTTGCAAACGAAGGGAAGCACATCGGCAAAGCTCTCAAGCGTCACTGCAGTGGTGACACCAAACTTAAATTGGACCGGCACTATGGATGGTGACGAACAATAACGCCTTTTGCACGTGCTGCCAGAGTAACTAGCGCAATTGGCACTTGGTGCTTGTACACGCTCGCACTGCCGAGTTCGCCTACGTGCTTTTGCGTGCTTGTAGCATTTACGTAAAAGCATGTTTAAAGCTCGCTCTTTTCTTTATTACCTACCCAGTGACATAAGTTCTGTAGTCACATGGATATGAGAATATGAATACAAATGTGCATTAGTAGGCTACAACAAAATATTTCTCTCTACTGCGTTTAAACTACAACCGACATGTGAATTAAGTTTAATTCAAGCATACAATAATTTATGCTGTTGAATTTAAAGAGAAAAGCTTAACTAAAAAATACATCCTATAGAAGTCGTGGAAAAATAGATTTAAGAAACGCCGATATGGACCGTCAGCGGCTCCCACACGACTGGAGTAAAAAAGCCCCTTCACGAGACGGTGGTTGAATAAGACATCACGTGATGCCGTCATCGCATGACATCGTCTCTTGGTCAAACGTGGGTCGATCACGGAGGCAGTACAAAACCAGGCAAGGTGCAGAAAGCTTGGAATGCCTCCGATTTCTCAGGCAAAGAAAAACAGGTGATCTGCAGAAAGCTTGTGGAAGGGGCCGAATTAATATTGATAGAGAAAAAGAAAGAAGAGGCAGATGACTTCTGTAACTTCGATGAGGAGGGATAAAGAAGCAAAAAAGCTAGAGACATGGAATGCGTCTTGATATCAAATGCTATAGGCCTTTCTTTCCAAAGCATGGCACTTGTACCCTATCCATCTCCCACGTCGTGACGTCATCATGGTCATTTCAGCTAACGTGTATATCAGAATATCTATTGTGACTAGTTGATTGTTTAATGAAAAAGTGTACTGTGGATATAACTGGAATAACTTATTTGAATATTAAGCATAATATTCAGTGATAACATTTCGACTTAACAAGCGTTAATGGTCAGATACTAATGATAGGCCCAGCTGAATAATCAATCATGTGGAGACAGAACATGCGCTCCTCTCTACCGGTGCAAAATCCCTGCGCTCATATCTGAAGTGTACATAATGAGGTATGACAATGCATATTTTGCATACAATGAAATGCATGTACGAGAAAGATGAATAACATATAAAAAACACGTGACATGCGTGCTATTGACATGAATGGCATATTGACATAATACGTTCGTCGTAAAAGGCGTCGTGTTAATTCCATTAACTTGACATGTGCCAGACTGCGCATGGCATGACATGTATGTAATGAGTCTAATGACATTATTGGCTTCAATGACAAAACGCGGTTGTAGTCGTTTCTTTTCCTTGGATATCAGAATATGCCGAAGAAAAGATAAATTACTTAGCATATCACGATATGCGCGCAGCATTAGCTAACGCTGGTTACCGTTCGCTAGTGCTTGTTAATGTTGGCTTATTGCCTGCTATCTTTTGCTATAGCACTGCCCTGACTGCTTCAGCGGTAATGGCTACGTTTGTGTATGCAACTTGCATATGGAAGTTGTGTCAACTTTTGCCAAAAAGGGAGCAAAATAGATTGCTCATGTTCATTGGATGAATCGAATCCTAGGCGTAGAGTTCTCACATTCCCGGAGGGGGTGGGGCAGTCGACTTCCTCTTCCACATGCCCTCTCCCTTTCTCTCTCTCTACTCTCTCCCTCTCTCTCTCTCTCTCTCTCTATATATATATATATATATATATATATATATATATATATATATATATATATATATATATATATAGGCCTGCGCGGGGAAACACAGCACAGTCACAGTGAAAGCTGGAAAGAACGGCCTTTTAGAGTCTTTTCTAAACAATATTTGGGTAACTGCTACAAGCACACTAGCTTGATACCCACTACGCAAAAAATAATTATAATATTTGTGCAGTATAGGCCGGCATTCACTATGCTATCCGTCATTTTTCGGAGAAGTGTGGTATCCGCTACGCACTTGCTAGAATTTTTTCCAACTTTTAATGCCGTAGCTGAAGACGATGAAGAATTATGCCTGAAGTGGGGTATGCGCCACTGCTAATAGGTGATCATCAAGAACAAGTTTTAGGGGCGAAGCTCCTTAGGGCGTGGGCTGTGCGTCCCCTGTAGCCTGTATGTAGCCACCTCTAGTTTAGTTCTTGCAGTGTTCACTAGATGGCGGTACCGTCCCCTGTATGTAGCCACCTCTAGTTTAGTTCTTGCAGTGTTCACTAGATGGCGGTACCGTCTCCTGTATGTAGCCAGCTCTCGTTTAGTTCTTGTAGTGTTTACTAGATGGTGGTACTTGTAGCTGATGATGAAAAGATGCAAGATGTTATAAACTAGAAAGCGGTACTTGTAGTTGATGAAAGACACGAGATCTTATAAAATAGGAATGATGTCACATATGGCGCGTGTCATTGGTTGAAGGCAATCGTTCGATTTAGTGCGGCGACGTACGCTAGGGAAAGCGATGTAATAAAATCGAGTGGGCAAAATGTACAGAGGATTCATGGTTTACCAGGTTTACCTCCGGAGCTTCGTCCACTCATCATCATTCACTTCGTGGATATGGCGGAATTTTTTTGTAATGAAATGGAGCATTGAACGACCCACTAGCTACGAACTTCGCATTGTGGGATGTCTTATCCCTTTCATGTTCTGAAAAGCTTTATTACTCATATTAACGTGATTCCTTTCCCGACATCAAGCTACACCTAAGACGAGTTCGGAAACGAGTTCCAAGCCTTAGCGGGGCTCGGTGGGAGAACACTGGGCTGGCACTCAGCGCACGCAGTTTCGATTCCCATTGTTTCCTTGGTGTGTTTTAGTGGCTGAGTTTTTTTCTTATTTTTTGCGATACTGGTGACGTATGAGGGCGGCGGCGGTGTACAACACGGTGCGGCACGTGACCCATGCTCGTACCTCATAACAGCGTTTGCTGTAAAACTGCTTGCGCACACATTTGAAGGCTATGATTGTATTGGTTTCATGTAAAAATAGAACTTCACTGAGCACAGAGAAATGAAATATTCAATTACATACCATCTACAATCAATAATTGAAACTATAGCGCAAAGCAACACATTGATTTATTTCCTTTCTTGGAATGTATTATTTAGTTAGTGCCTTGGAGTTATTATGCATTATGTATATGACACTTGCGCAGACAGGACATAATGCGCGCTGAAGGCGATAAATATCAATTAATTATTTACTTAATTAATTATTTTTTATTTGTGCAACACAAGATTGTCATGATGCTTGTGGCAAAATGTAATGTTGAAATAAACGTCACCTTTTGGAACAAACGTAGTATGGCTGTATGTCGGCTAGTGACGCCTAAAGCAGCTAGTGTCGGCTATTTCGACTTTGCGTTAGCTGACTGCTCTCAGTGCAATAAATACTTATACGTACTTAAATTTTTTTGCTTGACGTTGCTCGACAACGCCGGAACGCGCCGACGGACGCTGGTTACGCGAGGCACTTCAGCTTTCGTTTCGTCTTGGTGTAACTCCCTCTCGCACGAATGCAGACGTTGCATCGGATGTTGAACTTACCTTCAGGCCTAGTCGTCGTGCCCAATGCATTCACATCTTGTACGCGCTACACTCGACTTACACCAACTCGGCGCGCCTCGAAACGCTTGGCTCAGCGTCTAACAAAGCAGCATATTCCGATCCTCACAGAGAGCTTCGCATAACATTGATTTCTACTGCTTGTGTAATCAGACGCAACTTATTGCTTGTTCGTTCACTCTCCGCTTTCTGCCTTTGGGCGCATTGCCGTAGGATAACGACACTTGCTTCAACTCTTTCGCACGTGCTACAAACGCTATATGTTGTCAGCCTATTTTTCCATTGTTTACGAAGCTGTCTATGCTGAGGTGGTGTCGCAACACCCTTATCAGCAGCGACGCCCTCATTTAAATACCGCTGTGCGGTTTTATCTTCCCTATTTCTGGCGATGTGGAAAATATGAAGACGGCAAGCTTTGGGGTGTATCGTACAACTACAATCGGGCACAGCCAGTGGAATGCTAATGAAAAGGACGATGGGCTTGGCAACGGAAAAGAGCAATGAATGTATATTACCCTAATAAATTTTTACCTATAGAAGCTCGATGTGGTGCAATTTCTTCTATGTCATATTTTTCTTTTTAATTACTGTAGTTCCAGGCTGTCTAAACGTTAGAGGAAGGACAATGTAATATTCGCATATTCAAAATCAAAGTAAATCTTACATGTCAGGAAAACCAAAACAGTGGTTATTTGTTACTAACCTCGTCTGTTTACAAACCTCATCATGAACAAGAAATATTCTGAACTTCTCTCTGACATTTAGGCATTGCGATCAGTTCCCGAAATAATATTTGTAATAGTACACAGTACTAGGCTGGGATGTCAGCCATCTTCTTTATTTCTAACCTCTTGTTCCTCCTCGTCTCCCTCCAACCCTGCCTAACGTCTACGTACACTCCCCCTCTTTGAAGACTCATCCCTCCTGGGGTGATACATGAAAACGTTTCCGATGGTCGCAAATTCCAGCACACCATCATCGTTGGTGTAACCGACCCTTTTGAGAACGCCATGTTGCACTGCGATCTGCACCACGCGATAAGGTGCCATGTACACCTGCTTTGTGCCGGGAAGGCCTTTTCTGACAAGCACCGGATCGTTCAGTTGTACCTGAGGTATCCGCGTGTTGTGGTGACGGTCAAAGTTCCTCTTCATACTTTCCCGGTATCGCTGGTAGGCTTCCAAAGTTTTTCGTTTTTCGCACAATTGCAGGCGGTCTGCAATGCAAAGTTCTTGATCAGCAGGAAGCACTGGTACCTTTTCGAAAGCTGCAAAATATGGGCTACAGCCGATGCTCGCAGTGTGCGACCGATTGTGATGAGCGACAGCTGCCTCCAAGCAGCACTTCTATCCACCCTGAAAACCTGGATACAATGAAATGAATTGCTTCAAATCCCGAATGATTCTTTCAGCCATGCCATTTCCTGCAGGATGGTACGGAGCGCAGCGTCGCAATGCAACTCCTCGTTTTTTCGCCCAATCTTGCAAACGCTGACTGAGAAACGCTGGCCCATTGTCTGATATTACTATTTTCGTATTCTTGAACATCTCTCGACTCAAAAGAGCGATCACATTATTTGCGTCTTCCCTTCCTGGCCGTGCAGCCACTATTCTTGTGCACTGGTCTATTGCCACTAGGAAAGACTGCGTTCTTTTTACTCCTGCAGCCTTCTTCTTGAGCTCTGCGAAATACAGGTGAATGACTTCAAATGATACGTCAGAATGTTGAGGCAAAACCATCTCGTCTGTTCTCTGAAGGTACTTGGCTTTGTGAACTTGACATTGATGACAAGACTGAGAATACCATTGAACGTCCTTTTTCATGTGTTTCCACTGGAAACGCTGACGAATCTTGTGATATGTCCTACAAAAGCCGTCATGTCCACCTGAGTGCGGGGAGTCGTGATAGAGCTCCAAAATTCGAGGCACCATTGTTTCTGGGACTGTGAACTTTCCGTTATGGAACTTAAGTTTTTCAGTTCCCTCCCACAACAATGTTGCGTTGACAAAGGATATGGGAGTTGCAGTAGGTCTCCAGCTTGCAAGCGGGCGTCGTTCCTCAGCTCGTGTGGCCCCGGTATTCCTTGCAGCAAGTGTCATGGGTTGACGCTGGGTTCCTAGGTCCTGGAGGTAGAGGTTTCGCATTCCCTGCAGAAGTTCTTCGACCGTCTTGGGTCCTCGCATTTGTATTTGCTTCTGGAGGTCCGGACTTAAACCATGAATGATAAGCGGAACCACAGACGTCTCAGACAAAGATGAGTCCGCCAGCTGTAACAAGCGCCTTTTCTCATAAAAATAGTTGAGTGCAGATCCAGACCTGTATTTGACCGTGATTGCTTTGTCCCATAGCAACACCTTGTTCTCGCTGAAGGAGCTCAGAAAGCTTGCTTTCCACTCTGTCCATGGTTTGTTGCTGTGAGCGTTGAGACGCCATTCGTACCAACTCTTTGCTATGCCCGATAGGAATAGTCGCATGTTTTTTCACTTTATCTTCGTCGCTGTGCCAGTAGTTTTCAGTGCATGCATACTCGTAAAACGTGAGCCAGGACTCGGGACTACTAGACTCTTCGTCAAACATGTCTGGCTTCACTTGTTCGCGACTCAGTCTGCTTAATCTTTCCGTCGCGTTTACAAGCAAGCGCATTAAATCATTTTGCTGCCTATTCTGTTCTCGGTGCAGTTCAAGAAACTTGTTGATCAGCTCGACGGAACTGTCGGGCGAAGCAGTGGTAGCAGCCTTCGCGTCGTTTCTTACTAGAGTCAGCACGAAATTCTCATAATCCTGAAGTTTCATGTTGATCCTCACCGTTCTTTTAGCAAGTAAATGATCTGGAGTGAGCCTCATTTTAGTGCTTATATAGGAAACAAATGCGTCAGTGCTCACTGCTTCCGGAAGAGCTACTTCCTCGTCATCTTGAGGCGTTGCGGTCAAGATCCGGATGCCACCAAGTTGATTTGCTCCAATGCTGAAGTCCACCCACATCTTGAATGTCCGCACAGAAAGTATACGCGGCTGCGCCATTTTGTAATAGTACACAGTACTAGGCTGTGGTGTCAGCCATCTTCTTTATTTCTAACCTTTCTTCCTCCTCGTCTCCCTCCAACCCTGCCTAACGTCCACGTACAATATTATCTTCTGTATTAGCTTCATATGAACGACCAGCTGCATAGCCATTTGCAAATGCACGTGTGATACGAAAAGGTTACCATGTGAATGCCCAATGACTTCAATACCACGAATTTTCATGTCTAAACAAAGGCACTGCGTTTTCCGTTTCTCTCACTCTATTTCTTTCAAATCCAGGCCCTCTCAGCTGAGTCAAGTTTAGAATTATTTCATTAGCTTCTACAATGCTTTGTCTTATTTCATCGTTTGAGTTAACTCTGCTTTGCTTAGCTCCTTGAACAGCTGTATTCATGGATGGCTCTCCTTGGTGTATAAGTGCTTTGAAATGAGAAGCAAGCAAGAACTAAAGCCGTCGGCCTTGTATAGAACAGGTCGTTCTTCCAGCTCACCACCACAGTTACGATTCATGACCATTAAACGGTGGTTCACCCACGGCCAACGACAAATGAGGATCTCTGTCAATTGCCACTGTGGTAATTGGCACCCTGTGTCCTTAGCGAAGACAACCTGTTCCTGCCACCCTCTTATGATATTTCGCGAGCGTAACTGCGTCTCTCAGTCAACTTCTGCGTGTAAAGCAGAGCCTCGCAAATTCTTGAAAAATGCCCGGTATGAATGTCATATAATGCGAGGAGCCTTCTTAAGACACGTAACATTGCGTGCTAAAAGTGTAGAATCACACAAGGCTCCAAAACGGGGTTTGGGCAATCAGTGGGTTTCTAAACGGCACACCAACTAAAAAAAAGCACTCAAGTACAAGTAACTTTAATCGGCACCTTAACTTTAACCAGTTCTCTTACAGACACGAACTGAGTCCTTGTACAAATCGCAAAAAAAATAATTAGGGCGTAGTGGGCACTATGCAGCTGTAGTGGCAGTAGGCATTCTAGGATAGTTCGAAACGGCCAATGCAGGCGTTCCCTTCTATGAGCACGCTGGAGGTTTCCACCGAGAAGTGAATCCAGGTTAGTGATTGAGAAGGCGATGGGAACGGGGCCCGATTACGCTATAGGTGGATAGCAAAATGGCGTGTCGTCTGCTATGGTACTACCAGTTAGAGGCCTATCCCTTCACCGCTTTTAAGGAGCCTGCTATGCAGTGTAGTCGGGAAGGAGACGCGTGCAATTCTGTGACGCCTTTGTTGCCGCTTGTCCAGGAATCGGGTTCTTGAATTCTTTGGTGAATCAATACATGATATTTCGAGCATTTGAGAGAACGAAGCGAGCAGTGGCATTGAGTGAACACGAGGAACTTGTGAGAGGCAGGTTTCGGGCACGTTTATGCTTTGAAACACGCAGTGATCGTTTGCAGAATCACATCGATTCGGTATTTTCCTCCACAAATTATGGCCACGTCAAATCACTGACACGCATGAACAGATGCTGACAAATCTCAACGTAGGTTGACAACTTAAGTACGCATACTCTGCCCGATCAAATACGCCGATACAATATGTTTGCATAACATATTCTGCGTCCCCTAGTGTCTAGCAAATTTATGAAAACAGCTGAACGTGTAAAAGATCCATGGCACCAAACAACCACTTAGTTAAAAGTATCGCAGGGCGTAAAACGATCGAAGTCTTTCTAGAAGCAAAGAGTTGCATGATAGGTCAGACTTACAAGCGTTAAGTGACGATAGGCAGTGTTTCGCTACGACAACTATATGTTGAGCATGCGTTGAAACACAATGTTCGAGCGTGTGAGGGAACGACATCTTACGTAAAGCGAGATTCAGAAAAAAAGTATACAAAAGTGCGAGAGCATTTGATTTTTAGAAAGCACAGTTCACTCTTGCCATTCACTATTTCGAACCCAAGATGTTACCTGAATAAATAACTCTACGAGTGAGCAACAGGAAAACAAATGGACTAATGTTTCGTGATGCTATGATGGACAAAAAATATTTGTATGCGAGAAAACGCGCGCGAGAACACTCTTTGCTGCAAAACAACATGCATGTGTCCGGAGGTGCTTGAAAAAGAAATGACCACTCGTACAATTATAACTATCTCGTTGTGACTGCATTTGTTAT